GGTAACCTAACATAAAGAAAATTCTTTTTTAACAAACCCAAATTGGTAACCTAACATGTCCAAAATCTTCATGTAACAAACCCAAATTGGTAACCTAACGTGTCCAGAATCTTCATGCAACAAACCCAAATTGGTAACCTAACATAAAGAAAATTCTTTTTTAACAAACCCAAATTGGTAACCTAACATGTCCAAAATCTTCATGCAACAAATTCAAATTGGTAATCTAACATGAAGAGAATCCTTTTTTAACAAACCCAAATTTGTAACCTAACATGTCCAGAATCATTCTTTAGCAAATCCAAAAAAAGTTTCAACATGTTTTTGATTTTGTTTTTGTTTTTTAAATTTTTTTTTTGAATTTAATTTCAAACAAACTAACTAAGAAATGATCAATAACAAATTCAAATCCATTAATCAAGCAATGATCAATAACATTTCCAAATTCACTTAACAATTCCAACAGTGACAAATAATGATTGCAAATTCATGTGCTCATAACGAGTCAATTTGTTTAAAACAATTATTGTCCTACACCTTACGAAATTCTAAATGAAATTTTAACAAATTTTGAATCCATTCAAACACAGAAAAGTGTTTTCTTATTCAAAACTGAAATCTTTCGAAAATCAAAATTTGAATTTTTCACATGACTCATTCTCCCATAACACTCAAGGATGACCAATCGAATGGGATATCACATTATGCGACGGATTGAGAATTTTTGATTCTTTCTTTTTCTCCATGTTTGACTGATAAAAAAGCAAAAATAGAGAAATGATGAAAAATTTTTGAAATTTTCACTCTTTGTTTGACTTGTTTCGCAAGTGAATTCGGATTTGTTACTGATCATTGTTGCGTTTATGAATTTGGATTCGTTACATATCATTGTTGTGATAGTGAATTTGAATCCGTTAGTGACCATCGTTAAGAAGTGAATTTGGATTTGTTATTGATCATTGCTTGGTTAGTTTGTTTGAATTTAACAACTCTTTTTGGATTTGTTAAGTTACCAATTTGGGTTTGTTACATGAAGATTTTGGACATGTTAGGTTACCAATTTGGGTTTGTTAAAAAAGAATTTTCTTTATGTTAGGTTACCAATTTGGGTTTGTTGCATGAAGATTCTGGACACGTTAGGTTACCAATTTGGGTTTGTTAAAAAAGGATTCTCTTCATGTTAGATCACCAATTTGAATTCGTTACATTAAGATTCTCTTAAGAACTTAAGAAAATTTGGTTTGGAACGGACATAACCATGAAAAAATGATTTTTTTTCTATTGAATTTCATTGATTCATTATTGTGTTGTGTGTGTGAGAAAAGTTTCCATAAACATCTTGTCGACTTGTAGGGATTTTTTAATTCGCTAGGTGTCGACAAAGGCAGAAAAGCCAACTTTTTTTTTAAGGCGAACTTTGACGCCCCACTTCTAGTACCGGAAGTGAAAACTGGAACTTGATTCTTACATTTTTGGAAACTACAACTCTCCTGCTAAAAAGTAATTTTTTATTTTCTCTTAAATCCGTCAGCAAATATGATTTAAAAATTTTCAAAAAAACCCATTTTCCCATAGACAGCAATGTTATTTTGCAAAGTGTCCACTTTTTTCTGAACAATGTGTGTATGTAACCTTTTTCTGGCGATGATCATCATCTTATGAATGAAAATTAAAACAACGATAATGATAATTACCAAGCCAAAGAAAAAAGAATAATTATTCATTTCCGTTCATTGACAATTTTAATAATGATTTTTTGCTGTTGTTGTTTTGGTTCAGAAAGCAAAGATATCAATTCAAATGATGTTTGGAAAAAAAACATTGAACACTGTACCAAAAGATAGATAAAGGAAAGCAGAAAAAGAACAACAACAACAAAACCACAATGCATTATTCTAATGATCATTAATTATTATTCAACAAAATGATTTTTCTGTTTTGTTTTCTTTCATTCTTGTTTTTTTACATAATCATCTTTAGATTTTTTATTTTTTTGGTGGTGGTTATGTATTGTTTACTCAAGCAAATCCATTTTTTCAACAACAAAAAATTCAATTCAGTTCAGTTTTCTTGATAACAGAAAATTATCTGCATTTTTAAAATGTTTTTTTAAATTCTTTTTTTTCCATAAAAAACATTCCATTCAACCAAAAAGAAGTGTGAAATATGAAATTAATTTTGACGTAATTCTAAATGATTCATCGTTTCTGTGATTATATCATCATCATCATCTATGAATTACGACATTTTCAAATACAATAATCATTCATTCAACCCAAAAACCAAACCAACCACCAAACATTGGTTGTCGAAATTGATTTTGTTTTTTCTTTTCTTTTTTTAAAGTTCGTTTGTTAAATTTAATTACCCATTACCATATTTTACGAACACAAACTTTCTTCAATCTGATATTTATCAATTTTACATGGAAAAAAAATTTCGACTTTTATCCCATCATCATCATCATCATTGCCATAATAATCAATTTTTTCAACCATTTTTTGACGATTTAATTACTTTCATAAAATAAATGTAAAGTGTGTGTGTGTGTGTGGGAGTTTGACGTTTGCGCGCGTCATGATTATGTCATCTATTAGAACTAAATTATTATCTTGGTTTTTTTACCTGAAAATTTTAAACATGAATGACTATTACGCGCATTGATTTTCTAAAAAAATTCAAAACATGATGATGATGATCGGTAAGATACATGAACCAAAACGAATTAGGCGTCATGAAATCCATAATAATAAAAATGAAATAATCATATGGCTATTCAATCAAACCAGAAAACAACAACAACAGAAATTCTGACATTATTTTTCCCCCCAATAATGATGATGATGGTGGTGGTGATTTAGAGGGGTTTTGTTCACTGAACCGGATGTTTTTTTCTCCTCTCCTCTTTTTGCTTTGTTTTGTGATAATCACATTTGCATATTGGTGTTTTTGATGGATCAAAAATGAATGATTATTATCATGATCTTCATATGAATCCATGGATAATTATGATGATGATCTGAATATGATTTTTGCGTTTATTTTTCGTTTGTTTGTTTGATTGTTCGTGTAGGTTTGTTGAATGTGAGAAATATGGAAAAAAAACAACAACAAAATTTTTCAACATTTCCGACACAATTAGTTTATGAGAAATCAAATCATCATCATCATCATTTTAAATCTAAATATCCTGATAGTTTGATATAAAAGGTGTGTGTGTGTGTATGTATATTATCGTTGAATGTTGTTGTATAATTTTTATTTATTTATTTGAATTCAGGGTTAATTCATTCAAATCACGTTTGTGTAAAGAAATTTTAAAAAAACAAACAAAGATTTAAACAATCCGATCTTTGATTTGATGATTGATTAGATGATGGTTGGTAATATAATGGTCACCTTAGATTTCAATGATTATTATTGTTGTTTTTGTTGGTAGGATTATTATCATTATTATCATAATCATTACTGTTCTGTTTTGTGTTTTGTTTTCATTTGGTTGAAATTGACATTTATTATTAACATTTATTGTTTATTTCGTTTATCACCCCCTTTATGATATGGATAAATATCATCCAAAACTTTCATATTAATTCTCATTGCTTCAGCTACGGCTTCACCAATCCTTGTTGCAATACCATGTTCCGATGATATTCTTAAATTTGATGAATTTTGTATCGATTTTCTTTGTGGTTGGTGGTGGTGGTGATAGTGTTGTGATTGTTGATCACTATCACTATTTTCACTAATTTCATTTGTTGAAGTTGAATTATATGGTACAAAATTGATAATTATTTTCTGTGGTTTTATCAATTGTTTTTTCTCTTGATAATATTGTTGTTTAAACGGTGGTGATTGCCAATATTGTGGTTGTTGTTGTTGTTGTTTAAATGGTGGTGATAAAAATGACGCAGTTGGTGATTGCCAATATTGCGGTGGTTGTTGTTGTTCAAACGGCGATGTTGATAATGCCGTATTCGGCGTTTGCCAATATGGCGGTGGTGGTGGTTGTTGTTGTTTATACGGCGATGTTGATAATGCCGCAGTCGGTGATTGCCAATATGGTGGTCGTTGTTTTTTTATTGGTTTTGGTTTTGTTGTTATTCCCAATGCTGATGATAATGTTCTTTGATCTGGTAGATGAATTTCTTTTTCAAGAATTTTCAATACTTCAGTATTACCTTTAAATACAGTCGATGTTTGATAACCAAAATCTTCGGGTAATTTTTGATTTGTGGTCAAAAAATCTTGATTTTTTATTGCTTGAAATGTATTTTGTTGTTGTTGTTGTTGCTGATATAGTTGTTGTTTTTGTTGTTGTTGATTTGCGATAAATTCTTTCAATACTTTAAGGATATTAATACTAAATTCTTTTTGTGTTTTAGTTGTATTTCTTGTTTTAGTTTTTGTTTTTGTTCGACGTTCGGATTCTGAACTTTCCGTTTCTTTTGTTGATTCACTATTATCATCATCATCATCATCATTGTCGTCGTCGTCATCGTCGTCATTATCATCATCATCAGTTGTTTCTGATGATGGTGTTTTCGAAATATGATCAAGAAAACCTTCGATCCATAATTTAGATGGTTCACCAGGAACTTTTACTGTTTCATTGCATGGAGCAATGCTATTATGAAATTGTTGTGTTCTTAATGATTTAGCTCGAAAAGCATTACGAAATTCCATTAATTTTTGTTTTAATTTTTCTTTTCTTTTTTTAGCTTTCTTTTCTGCTTTTAATTTTCGTTTTTTTTCTTTACGTTTTTGTCGTCGTTTCTTACGTTTTTCTTCTTTACGTTTTTTTATTTTCATTTCTTTTTCAAGATAATTTTGTTGTTGTGCATCAGCAAAATAATCATTAAATTCATTTGTAATAATTGTATAAATTAATATCGAATAAATTACTGTTATTATTAACATTATAATTATTAATATAATCATTTTTCGAAAATCAAATGTATGATTATTACGAATTTTTGATTCTTTTATCATATCCAATGATGATATTTGTTTTGATGTTGATAAAAAATTTTCCATATCGATTGATGATGATGATTGATTTAATGATTGAATGATTTTCATAATTTTTTTTTCAATCAATGATTAATTAATTAATCATTGATTGATTATCGATCGATGTAATCAATACACTCACACACACACCGCACCACAAAGCGAATATATTTAAAAAAATCGAATCGAATCAAATTTTTTCCAACATATTTTCAGCCATATATAAGCGAATTACACACACACAAACATTCCAGAACTTATTTAAATTCAATTAATAATTTATTATTGTTGTTGCTGCTGGTTGGTTGATTGATTGATTGATTGTAACAAACAAATACCATCATCATCATCATCATTATCGTTAATGTCAAAAACGAAAAAATGATTGATTGAACATTGTCACATTTGAAGCGTAACAAACCAAATCTCAAAAATAAAAGTTTGATTGAAAAGGAGAACAAAAAACAAAAAAGTTGCCAATTTGATTGATATCAATTCCAAAAAAAAAAATTGATCATGAATTTTGAATTCAATCATTTGTTTTACCTGTTTTGCTTTCTGGTTTGTTTGTTATTATCATCATTAGTCAACCAACAACAACAAAAAAACTAATCAATTGTACCAGAAAATCTTTTCCATCTCTGTGTGTAACAAGATTCATTTTGTTTCGAAATGGAAACAAAAAATGAATGACAATTTCAAGTTGCATTTGTTGTTGTTGTTGTTGTTGTTATTGCATGGACCATTTAACATTCTTCAAACATTAATGTGGGAGAGAGAGAGAGTGAATAATATCAATGTAACAACAACAACAGAAGAATAATTATGATTTAATGGTTTCCGCTTGACAAACAAAATGATGATGATGATGATGATGGGCGTCAGATCTAGATTTTTGATTGAATCTAATCACGAAACAAAATGATAATGATTTCGATGGAAATAATTAACGATTAAAATGTAAATATTCATTCGATCAATGTTTGTCTTTCATTTTGAATTTGGATTCAGGATTTTTTTTTTGTTTTTGTTTCCAATTCTAGCCATTAGATGGCAACGTTTTAGCTGAATTCATAGAATTAAATCAAATTAAATCAAGAATCAAATTATACTGCTGCCATCTATCATAGTTATTTTGTATTTGAATTTTAAAAATTTTGTAAATAATTTCAACAAAAAAAAATGTTTTTTTTTATTGTTATAATGATTATTATAATGATAAATAAGTAATATTTTTAAAGATTATATATGATATTTGTAAGTAATATGTAGAGATGTTAAACAGATAGCAAAAAACAAACAGAATTTTCGGGCTGTATATTTATCGATTTTTTTTCTTACACTTTTTTTTAAAAATCTAAAGATGATTTTACGAGAAAAAAAACTTTGTTCAATATATTAGTTTTAGATGAATTTAGTTTGTCCAGATCAATGTTTTAGGTTTTTGAAAATGTTTATTTGATTCGCATAGTATACGATTGGTAACCAAATCTACAGTAAAAACAGATTCAGTAGCAGTGATTGATAGGATACGATTTTTTTCCGATAATGCCATTCCACGATAATATCTATTTTTTTTGGGAAGAGATAAGAGAAAAAAATCGATAACAATATTGGCAAATGAAATGAATGAAAATTTTTCATTTTGAATAACAAACAAACAGAAACTTACCCTTCAGTTGGTCTACCAATTCCGGATATTAATTCTACATGACCATCGATCAATGACAAATATAATAGATCTTCACGATTCGGTGTACCCGATGCTAATATTAGATCATAGTTACCATTTTTCCAAACAAATAAACAATTTACAATATCCAATGATGTACGAACATCATACATAAATTCAATACCATTATTATTAATCTTCTGTACAATGATTGTACTTGTATTTGTTATTATTGTTTCTGTATTGGTTTTTTGACTATATTTTGATGCCATCATATGACATCGTCTTCCATGTTGACATTGTGATGATGATGATGATGAATTAACAAAATCATGATATATACTAACTAAATAACGATGATCAGGCGATAGATAACTTTTATGTGCATTCAAATGTGAATTATGTATTAATATTGCATCAGTAACTTGATCTAAAATTAATTGCCCATTCAATTGATGTGTGATCGGTGTTTGACATTGTACAGCCAATAAGCCACCTGCTTTTCTTGTTATTATTGATACGGCAATTGGTTGACAATCATTCAATCGTATCGAATGTAAATATTCCAATTGATTGATCGAAATTTTTATCAATGATCGTTCTTCCCAATGTGTTGCATATGCAAATGGTGAATTTTGCATAAATTTTTTCATATTTTTATTATAATCATTTTTGAATATTGATTCATAATGTTCAGGAATAAAAAAATCATAAACCAAATCAAAATGACCATCAACCGGTTGTAGATGTATGACATCGATATGATCATGTATTATTGATGATGATGATGATTGTGATTGTGGTTGTGGTTGTCTATTATTATTATTATTGTATTCAAATGATGATGATGAAGATTGTTTAGCCGATGATGATGATAATGATGAACTACCATCATGCATTAATCGAATCACTTGAATAGTTTTACGATTTTTTCGATATTTTTCATTCAAATAATCAAATTTATTGCCAGCAGATGAAGATGATGACGACGATGATAATGATGAAGTGGTAGGATAATCACCAACATTTTTCCATTCAGCTTCAATCAAATCTTTTGGTATTTTTGATGATGATGATCGTTGTTCATCATAATAATTATTATAATCATCATTATCAATATTATTACCATCACAAAGAACCCATATCTGTGAATCGGATGATGATGATGATGATGATTCAACAATACGAAGGCGTCTTGGTTGAGGATCAGTGGCAATTACCTTTACAACTGATAATTGTAATTCATTTAAAACTAATATACGATTTAGATTTGGTTGAGCAATATAAATTAAGCCATTTAATTGAACAATATCTTCACTCCAATCGCATTGTATTATTGTTTGTTCATTATCATCATTATTATTATTATTATTATTATTGCTGCTGCTGGTGCTATAACCATTACCACAAAGTGTTAAACTATTTTGATAGATTATATCTCTTGCATCAATTTCATGAATAGTTTGTCCACAAATTCCTTTAAATTTTAAGAAAAGTTGTTTAAAATTTAATTTTAAAAAGTTCAAAAAAAAAGAATACCTTCATAAATAGTTAAACCATTAGCATGAAAAATCCATAAACGTTGTGGATGTGATTCAGAAATATCTGCGGATGATTCAACTGATTCATCTTGTACTAATAATGATGCAACACTTTGTCCAAATGCACCATTTTTATGTGTTATACGACATGTATATGCACCTGTATCAATCTGTTCTAATGCTGCTACCTGTAATAATGTACCATTATTTATAATGGTTACTTTTGGTCCATCAATTAATTGTTCATCATTTTTAAACCAATGTACAATATAATCATCTTCAAATGTTTCAAAACGACATTCAAAACTAGCTACACCACCGATTGGTGTCCATTGAAATTTTGGTGATACTTCAACAATTGGATCAACTAAAAAAATTGAAATTGAATAAGAAAAAAAAAATTGAACAGAATTTCCAGTTTCAAATAACATACCAATTACATCGACAATATGTGTTTGTTTAACTGTTGGATTATTAACCGCTTGACAAGAATAATTACCCGAAAATGATAATTTCAAATCCGTTAGATAAAGTGATCCATCATTGAAAACCTTTTTTAGAAAAATTTCAAAATTATTTTCGGTTTGATTATTGACCAGAAAAAAGAATGGCTAACCTTAATGTATGGTAGATTTAATGTAGATAAATCAACACCATGACGATACCATTTGATAGCCGGTTTTTGTGGTTCACCAGTTATATCGCATCGAATTTCAACATTATCACCTAAATGTGCTTCAATCTTATTGATGGCTAAACTTTCATCCAATGTTACCATCGATACACCTTTTTGAACAATCAAGATCCCATTAAATTACTTTTCAATTGAAAAAAAAGAAACAAATTTAACTTACTAAACAATTTATTAAATGCAGCTTGAAATTCTGTATAATCAAGTTTATCATCATCATCAATATCTTCATGTTGCATTAAGTCGGTAAGAAGACATACAGAATCGGGTGACTAAGGAAATAATGATCCAATTATTTAATGATTAACAATTGAACAAAAATCTTTATCCTAATTTACCTTATAAATCATTGAATGTTTCCATAATTCATTCAATGTAATTTGGCCATCCGAATTTTCATCCAATCGTGTAAATAACAATGATACATCATTTACTTGATATTTAAAAAAAATTAATGAAAATTAAATTAAGTTTTTTTTAATAACTTTCACACTATAAACTAAGATTTTCATACTTTTTTCCAATACTTTTTCCTTCATTAGATCATATTGTTTAGGTCGACATTCAACATTATCATCATCATCATCATCATTATCATTGTTATCATCATCTTCATCAGCATTTTTGTTGTTGTTATTATCATTATCATCATTATGATTATGATTTGGTTGATGATTTGAATTTGAATTAATCGATGAATCTTCAATAATATTATTATATAATGTACTGCTACTCTTTGTTGTAGCAAATGGTAAAGTTGATAGCTCTTTTTTATTATTGATCGACAATGATGATGATGATGATGATAAAACATCATTTGAATCTCTGTTATCTTCTTGATTTAATTGAAAAATTTTATCATTACCATCATCGTTATCGTTTATGTTATTGTTATTATTATCATTTTCTTCATCCTTTAAACATTGATCAGGATGAGCTGGTCGAATCAATGTGTTTGTATCACACGCAGCACGTCTATAATCATCATTATTATCATTATGTAGACCCCCAACCAAAGAAAAGTATTTTTAAAAACTTTTATAATCAATTTTTTTTTCTATTACAAACCTTAAATGACAACGTGATGGATATAATTTACCATCAGATCCACAGATTTTATGTTTATGTATTGGACATCTTTCGGTTTGTTGTGCTGAACAACTAAATCGTCTATGATGCTATTTTGACCAAAACAAAAAAAATGATAAAATTTCAAAAGAAAAATAACAAATCAATATCCTAATCTATTTCATTTCAATTACATAGAAATCTAGACAATTGATTCAATTGAATGTGCAAAAAAAAACTGAATTAAACTGGCATTATCAATTGAATTGATTGATAATAAATGAATGAATGAATGAATGAATGAATAAAAGAAACACTAACCTTTGATTCGGTTAATCCTATTAACAATAATAAAGTGAATATTAATATAAAATGATAAGTAATGTTGGTTGAAATAATGTTTTTCATTGTTGTTGTTGTTGTTTTTGAATGAATCTTTTTATGAAGATGATGATGATGATGGATGATTTGTTTCATTTTGGTTGTTTTCGGTAATTCAAATTTATCCGCGATAAATATTTTTTTTTTGCTTGTTTTCAAGAATTTTCTTGATGGCACTTTACAGTAGATAATGTGACCTTTTTTTGTTTTGAAGAGCAAAAAATAGATATAAATTTTGAAACAACAAATGAATGAATCAATGAATATGATTTTGTAACAATGACAAACTCTGAAAAAAGAATATTGGAGAATGTTTCTATGGTAACCCGAATCGAAAATGACAAAAAAAAAATATATTTCTTTTTTAATTATGATTAAAAAAACTCTGAACCAAAAATTGATCAGCCAATTTTTTGGCTGATAGAAACTATCTATATTCTACCAAAGAATCTCTAATCAATTATTATATATGATCATTTTTTCAAATTCGGTTGCAGTAAAAAACCAAAAAAAAGGACAATATTCTATATGGAATTCTTACTCGAATTTTTGAAAAAAAACAATTGCTGATGATCCACCCCAAAAACAGAATAATTATGACAGAATCAGGAGGAAAAAAGATAATTAATTATTATGGCGGACACACACACACACACAGAATCCTTTGAAGCACAGAATAATGAGTGAGTGAAAAAATGAAATGAAATTTTAATTATTTTCTTCTTAAATAAAGATGATTGAATAAGATGTCGCCCAATGTTGTTGTTGTTGTTTGTTTTGAAGCTTATGATGTGATGTGATGATGATTATGTTATTCGGTTCGTTGAATTTTTTTTATATTAGAAAGACAAAAAGAATAAATCACAAAATCATAAGAATAAATGATGAAAATAATGGAATTTTTTGTTTTGTTTTCGTTTTTTTTCTGTCAAAATTATAAAGTCATCATTGATTTTTGATTGAATTTCATTATTTATTCTGTTTGTTTGTTTGAGGAGAAAAAATTCTGTTTATTCAAATTTTCGGTATGGACCGATTCTGTTTTTTCTTATTCTTTATTCTTTCATGAATTTTAAATGAAACAGCCAGACAGACAGTTACTCAGTAACAAACAAAAAGAACCAGAACCAGAATCTTATTGATAATGATGATGATGATGATCCTGGAAACCAATAATATTTGATATGTGATACTTTTTTTGGTTGGCTGGTTGGTTGTTCCTGGAATGCCTGTGTTATTGGGAGCCATTCACTGCTAGCTGCTTTCAATCAGCTATGATAAAAATGATTTTGGTTGTTTAGTGGTAGTAGTATAATGATCCAGATGGAAATTCCCAAACAAAATCTTCCGTTTTTTTATCATTCAAAATTGAAATGCAAGAATTTTTTTTAAGCTGACTAAAGTAGCAGCATTATAATTCCATACACAGCCACTACTCGTAACAAAATGATCCAAAATTTTTGTTGTTTTTTTTCTTCATAAACAAAAAGGATCGATATGGTGCCCGAATTCATGCCATCGATTCTATATATAAAAAACATCCTTAATTCCAGAATTACAGCAACAAAGAACTTATCCAGTAGCCAGTAATGTGTATATACTATATAGCCATGATTATTATCTATAGCAAATACACATTATTATTTTCAATTCTAAAACCTAAAAAAATTTCAGTTCCAATTCAATTTTTGTTTTTACATTTCAAAATGAAATGAAAATTATAGCCCTTAGTGAAGATGATGATGATAAAACAATTGGCCAACGAATGATTGCCTTGACTTGGGTATCTATTGATCCAAAGCAATTGATGAGTAGAAGTAGTAGCGATATTCTGCAGTAGTCTGAAGAAGAAGAAGATGAAGAAAAAAACCCAAGCATTTTGTTTTTCTGTATGATGAACTATTCTGAACTAAAAATTAAAAGAAGAAGATGAAAAAAACAACCAAATTAGGATCCAATTCGTTAGTATAGTCTTTTTTTGTTTTGTTTTGTTGAGAATTTCATTGAAAAACAGGAAATCCAATGAAAAAAAAAGAAGAAGAAGAAAATTGTTAACGGATGTCATTATTATTTCATTCAGAATGATGATGATGATCCGAATACAGAGAGTATGTATGAATGTTTATTTCAAATAACAACATCATTATCATCAGGGTTATTAGTTGAATTTATTTTATTTGCCCAAAATGATGCGGTAGTTGAAAATGGATCGATTTTGGTCTCGTTTTTTTTTCTCTCTCTGAAAACATTGGTACAGCCTTCTTGCTATTTCCAATATACAGTATACAATTCAAGTATGTTGTTTGTGAAAAAAATTGCTTGTTTGCAATGAATTTGAATATGATGAATGTGCAAGAACAGAAAAAAAACAGAGATTCAATGAATATTCTCTTTATTCTTAGTCTGTTTTTATTTATTCACTTGATCGTTATATTCTGGCCATTATCGGATAGAAATATGATTACATTTTCTTATTCTCTTTTTTTTGGTTGTTTTGTTTAACATTTAAATCTTTATTTCATTTCTATGTTTACATTTTTTTTCTTCTTTTTTTGTCTGTTAGTTTGTTTCTGGTAGAATAAGTTCGAAATGATTGATTCTGGTTGGATCCAATTTCTCTCTCCAATCTCTTATTTTACTTGCAAGTTACACTGTACATTTTGATCTAAGGCAATGCTTTTTTTCCAATTGCCTGCCTGCCTGCCTGCACAAACACTTCAATTTTAATTTCAAACAATGTTTGTTTTTACGAGATCATCATCACGAACGACGAATAACAACGAATGTTTTTTTCTTCACACTTTTTTTTCTAACTGTTTGAAATTGAAAGATGTCAAATAGGAGAAATGAAATAAGAAAAAAAAGTATGGCATATAGAAAATGTAATGTCGAAAACTTTATCAACTTTAACAGGGAGAGAGAGAATAACAATGGCATGTGTACTTGGCATCAAATATTTTCTTCTTCTTTTTTTTGATCAAAGAATTGTCGAATGAAAAAAATAAAAATAAAAATTCCTTCATAATATTTGATGTTGATGATTAGGGTTGATGAAAAGAAGAATGAACAAAAACCATCCACACACACACACAATAATAAAATCACCCAAGCAACCCAATAACTTAGAGAATTCTAGTGTAGAGCAACAAAAAAAAACAATATAATCTGACAGCCAGAATTTAACCAAAAGAAGAAGAAGAAGAATTCAAACGCAAAACCAATTTCATTTCATTCGAGTTTATTACAATGAACGTTGGAAAGTAAGAAAAAAAGAAAAACCAACTTGATTCTTTGGTCATCTAAGAAATTCAGTTTTGTTTGGTCATCATCATTGTTTATGACCTTTTCGTAAGAATCGTCAATGATACAATTACTTTGAGAGAAAGAAAAAAGAAAGCTAAGAAAATAAAAATAAATTTTCATCGATTTAAAGATAATGGATGACCATCATAATAATAATAATAACGATTATCGTAATGGTTTTACTATATATTATTATTATTTGAATGAGAATAATTATGGTTATGGCAAACATTTCTTGCTTTTTTTTTATACGTTGCTGGTTTATCATTTGGATTCTTTCGACAAAAACGATTTAACGATTTTAAAATTTTTCTCTGTCTGTAACAAATTTTTTTTTTTTCGTTAAAGTTTTGTTCAACTTTTCCCGAATAAATCTTTTTCTTTTTTTTTGCATCATTATTGATTGATTTAAACATGTCAAATACAGTTGAATGTTTTGGAATGTTTGGCTGGTAAATGGACCATTGTAAATCACAGGCGCATCTTTTGCATTTTTAAAAAAATGTGGCAGAATCTTTTTGAGTGAGAAAAAAAACTTTATTATCATTATTATTATATACAGTGGTAAAAGAATACAGAATGTAAATTAATCATTCAAAAAAACAAAAAGAAAAAGATTACATAAAGAAAATGGAAAAAAATTGTATGTGTGTGTTCAAATATACAGTGTTTTTTTTGTTTGAAAAATTGAAAATTATCAAAGAATTTTTTACAGAACAAGAAATTTATCAATTTGTAGTCACTAAAGTAGAAAAAAAAGTGAAAAATGTCAAAATTTTGATCATCAAATTTTCTTTTTCATTATCAAATTTCAACACACAACACAAAAGTGTAAATTCTTCGTTTCGTTTTCGCCGTGTGTGTGTGTGTTGAAATCGAAAACATTTGTATTTGATTGACAAATTGAAAATTTCACATAAATTCATTCAACCAAATCACAAAGTGATAATGATGATTATTGTTAGAAAAGAAACAAGACGACAACGAAAAAAAAGAAAAATCAAGAGTTGTTCGTAGAAACAAAAATATTCTATTCTTTTACCATCAATGTCCATCATGTTTTGCCGATAATGATTATTGACTGATTGACTGACGACTAAATACTACCTGCTTGTTTGAAAATGTTTTTTTTGTTTTGTTTTGTTTTCAAAGTGCAAAAAAACACTGGTTACCTTTTTTTATTGCAGCAAAGTAAAATTTTTTTTAAAAAAAGAGACTAGAAAATATGATTATATAATTGACAACAAAAAACATCACCCGAATGACATGGCCAACACAACACAAATGTGTTTGTCATGTGAAAAAAGAAAAAAAAACTGAAAAATGAAAATTCTTGTTGCTCGCTCGGTATTTTTATATTTACCATCATCATCCAAACATCGTAATAACTTTTGATTTAGTGATGATGATGTGATGATGATTATGATTATTATTTTCTTCATTGCTTCCAATTTTTGATTCAATTTGATGTGATAATGATGATCAACGTGATGCGTATGCACACACACACACTTATACAATCAAAAGATAATGATGTTCACGATGATGATGGTTGATCAAAACGCCATTGTTGTGTTGAACTACCAGCATTACATTGATCTACAATAATACCAGTTTGTCGTACAAAACGTGAATCTAAACAAAGATTATGTGATAATAATTTCAAATGACGATCAAATGCCCAGACCCATTTCTATTTGAAAAAAAAGTAAGAAAGAAAAATGAAATGAAAAAAACAATTTGTTATCGTTATTTGTCATTTTGAAATTGTTTGTTAACAAATCAAATTCTTCATCTTCACTTTATTATTATTATTTTGCTACTTACCTGTGAATCATCACCAACACATTCAGATAATACAACAGATCTTGATGGTTCAAATCCAGTTACAGTAATACAAAGATGATCATCATGTTTGATTAGATTATCAATAGTAAATGACCAATCTTGATTTTCACCTTGTCCATGACATTGATATAATGATAAATGACCTAAATTTGATTGACCCATTGTATCAAGACATTGATCGATTTGTCTTAATGCACCATGTTTGGCTAATATACTATCATCTAATCGATTATTCATTATCATCATTATACCATCGGGTATTTTCAATTCGGGATAAACATTTTTCATATACCAATCAAATGATTTACAATGAAGTTTTTGTCGTAATGTTAATCGTTCACTAATATCACCATATGATACATATTGTGCAGGTGGATTTGCATTATAATATAATTTTTTATAATCATCCATCCAAACTTCAGCTGCACGTCGGGTATTATGTACAAATACAACACCGCTACCGCCGGGAAAATCATATGGATGTCTTGATTTGTATTTTGTTTATATTTGTAAATATGAATTTCAAAAAAATAATTAAGAATCATGTTTGTTTTGGTTACGTAATAATAAACAAAACAGAAAAAAATACTTACTGTTTACGAAAAACATGACCAACATGACTACAGGGAATAATTTCCAAACCATCAGCACATAGCCACATACGAAATGATATTTCAAGATTTTCACCACCCTTTACAAGAAAATCAATTAAAAACAAACAAAAACGAAAAATTCAAATGAATTATAATGATGAATAATTTATTCCAAAAAAAATTTATATGAATTTTTTTTCACTAATTTGAATAAATTTTTCCACCAGAAAAACGATGAAAAAAATTGATTTTAAAATGTTTTTTTCCCCTTCGTTTAACAAAGGAAAAAAAATTTGCAAACCAAATAAAACCCTTTCAGGAATAGAAAACAATTTTTCATGTTTTTTGTTTCAAAAGTTCAAATCATTCATCCATTCATCAAAAAGAATTTTCATTTTTTTTTTGCCTACATGCAATGTTCTTTTACAATTCAATTCAAAGTGGATTCGGTTCATTAACAACAACAACAACAACAATAAAGCCTTAAGAAATTTAAATTCATTTTAAATTCGTTGTTGTTTAGGATTTTACCAATTGCAATTACTATCAATTCAATAAATTGTGACTCTATATTTATACTGTTTTTTTGGAAAAACTAATTCAAAAAGAAAGCACAAAAAAAACAATTGAAAATGGGCAATTCAGAAAAATGATATGCTAAAAAAGGGACATGATAAAATATGATGATACAATCAGTCAACTTACCCAAATATTCATTTGTGGATCATATTTTCCATAATAATCGAATGTAGTTTTATTTATTGAGAATAAGCCTCCGGCAATCATTGGTGTTCTAATTTAATTTTTTTTTTCGTTTTTATTTTGCATTTGTAATGATGATGTACGATGTGACACAATGGAATTGAAAATAGAAAAATAAATAGGAAAAATGGACGAACATGGCAATTAATCAACAACAACAACAAAGACAACCGAATAAAAAATAAAATAAATGTTTTGGCATTGTTTTATTATGTACAATTCTAATAATAATAAAAACTAACTTGATTGGTAATGTTTGATCTTGTAAACGTTTCTGATGAATTGCTGTAGGTAATATTTCCCATTTAAATATTAGATTCCAATCAAAACCACCACGAAGATCCATTGATGCAGCAATATAACGAAAATCATCTAATGCAATTACATCTATCACAGGCGATACGACTAGTAATGGATTCTATTCATAATGACAATAACAGTAAAAAAACAACGAATTTGATTTGTCAGCATTTTATTTTAAAAATTTACAATTTCGAAATTCTTTTATTTACCTGTTTAACACGTTCCAATAATGGTTCTAACCATTGTTGATTACATTCACAATGACTATCTAAAAATGTTAATATTGGTCCGCGAGCAGCATCAGCACCACGTATTCTTGATCGTACTAAACCTTCACGTTTTGTATTACGTATTAGACGAACTTTTGGTATTTTTTTCAATTCATAACCATCGGTTGGATCATCACTAAAATCATCAACTAATATAATTTCTGTAATTAATTTTGATGGTGAACGATTTAATACCGAAACAATTGTACGTAATAATGTTGATCGTGCTTCATTATGATAAGTAATTATTATCGATGTCGGTGGTAATTCATCTAAATTATAATGTTTTTGTTGACAATGATAATGTCTTGTATCAATGATTGAACGATCTGGTGGTAATGAATCACTTGCTTTTTGATTAAATTTATTTTTTACATATGGATCCATATTTGGTTGAATAGCTTTTTTTGATAAATATTCAACAAGATTAAATTCTGAACCAAGATTTTGATATGTTTCAGGCTGTTGTGGTAGAAATTCTGATTTTGATGGCACAAAATTTAGATTAATCATTGCTGTTGTTGTTGTTATTATTGAGCTACTTGATTGTTGTTCTGTTGGTTGCTGATGATGAGCATTGAAATCCTTTTAAAAAGAAAAAGCAAAATAATAAACCGACAAATTAAATTATTCAATTATAAAACAACCCAAAAGAATGAATGATTGAATGAAAGGTGGGCACGAACAAAAGAAGAAAAAAGGTCAGAAAATTTCGTAAAAAATAAATTTACTGCTAACGAAAAAAACAGGTTCAAAGTGGAAAAAAAGAATGATTACTTTATCATCATTCATTCATAATCAACAGTTATGAATATTAATTTTTATAATTCAAATCAGTAGGAACAAAAAAAAAAGAAGAATATCGATAATCGAAAGAAAAACCCATTTGATTTTTTTCAAGATCAGAAAAAGATTTATATGTAGATTTCTCGCTTGCTTGCTTGTCACGAAAAACCCCAAAAACCGAAAAAAAACGAAATGTAAATATTCAAATTGTCCATTTATTATGAATCAAACAAATTCACAAAACCAAGATTTTAAGATTTGGCAGTCCAACGAAAAACAAAACAGAAAAAATGGATAAGTTTGACGCTCCCAACTTTTTGTTTTTCCATCACCAGAAAAGAAATCTTTGAACAAAGATATAATAAATATGATGATGTTGGGCAATGGGCAAAAACAAAAAAAACAGAAAAAAAAGTTCATGTCCAAAACGAATAAGGAANACAAATTAAATTATTCAATTATAAAACAACCCAAAAGAATGAATGATTGAATGGAATGAAAGGTGGGCACGAACAAAAGAAGAAGAAAAAAAAGGTCAGAAAATTTCATAAAAGGTAAAAAAAATAAATTTACTGCTAACGAAAAACAGGTTCAAAGTGGAAAAAAACCCAAGTTTTTTCAAACAGAAAAGAATGATTACTTTATCATCATCCATTCATTCACTTATAATCAACAGTTATGAATATTAATTTTTATAATTCAAATCAAGTAGGAACAAACAAAAAAAAGAATATCGATAATCGAAAGAAAAACCCATTTGATTTTTTTCATGATCAGAAAAAGATTTATATGTAGATTTCTTGTCACGAAAAACCCAAAAAAACGAAATGTAAATATTCAAATTGTCCATTTTTTGTATGAATAAAAATATCAAAAACAAATTCACAAAACCAAGATTTTAAGATTTGGCAGCCCAACGAAAAACAAAAAAAAAATGGATAAATTTGACGCTCCCAACTTTTTTTTGTTGCCTGTTATTCCATCACCAGAAAAGAAATTTCACTTGTTTCTATATTATTTATACTACTACAACCCGTTACCCGTTTTTGTTTTTTTAGCAGAAAAAAAGTTCATGTCCAAAACGAATAAGGAAGGAATGGAAAATTAATGGTATTTTTTGTTTTCTTTTCTGGTTTATTCTGCTTTTTTGGCTCAATCAAGAAAAAGAACTGAAATTCGGATTTGTAAAAAAAGCTGAAAAAAATTTCCTAAATGATGTGTTTGTTGGAAAATATGAAATCATCATCATTTTCATAATGAATCTTTCCTTTTTTTTCTTGTCTATCATTCCATTGAATGATCATAACGAGATTCAAAAAACGAGATAGGTCAATCAAAAAAAATATTGAACATCAATGAATGAATGAATGATAAAAATTTTCACTATTGTCTCTAATATTTATGAATATTTTGATGATAATGATGATGATGATGATAAACATCGCAAAATACATCAGAATACAGTGAAACTTTTTCTACGTTTCTTTTCTCTGGTTGAAGATCTCAATCACAATGACCAATTGTATTTTATCATTGGTTTTTTGCTGATCACACACACACACAAAGTGGTGGGGATGGTGGTGGACATGACAATGTAATGTAATGTAATGAGAAAAAAAACAAAAACCAAACATTAAACAATGGCCATTGAACCGAACAATAAATAAAGAATTGTATTGAATTCTTGATAATGAAAAAGAAATGAGAAAAAAGAAATAATGATATGTCCCCTTTTTATAGGAAATGAAATTAATAGCAAAAAAAACGAATGATAAATCATATTTTCTATCATTGTTTTTTTTCGTTTTGAGCCCGCATATCTTATCTTCTTCTTTTTTTCGCTTTGTAATTCTCTTTGTGTGTGTGTGTTTTCATTATAATTCAATTCTTTATTCTGGAAATTGACAACGAAAGAAAGACACACACACAATCAAATTGATCCAAATGAATCAGGAATTTCATTGAGAAACATATGAAACAAACGAATCAACGATTCAAGTCAAGCAACAAAAACAAAACAAAACAAAAAAACATTAAGAGAGAAAAACTCTTGGAAAAATGAATCCAAAAAAAAGAATTCCAAAACCCTCCTCTACATATGGTAATATCTAATAATGAAAAAATAAATATCAAGTCAAATGAAGTAAAGCATAAAAAGATGATTACGACGACGACGACAACGATGACGAACACAAAATGAAATTGATGACCAAAAGATTCTTTCTCTCAATATATATTTTTTATCGATATCGTTATAGTTAATGATGTTGATGAAAGAAAAAAAAAGAAGAATATATATTTTGATATAAAGATGCTGAGAGAAACTTTTCATCATCATCAATGATGATGAACTGAATGATGAAAAAAAAACCGCATCAAATCGATCGATCATTGAAATTGGAAAACCATATTAAAAAAAGAAGAAGATTGTAAAGATGCGAATAAGGAAAAAACAACATATTGGCTAATAATAACATTTGGCCTTTTCCATAATTAATCGATCGGTTTCAATAAATTGGTTATGGGGTTTATGGTCGATTATCATTTCTGCATTGCTTGAAAAAAAGAACCAATGGGAGCCATGACTAAATCATTTTGCTTTTCTGATTGAATTTTCTTTATTTATTTCAGTTTCTGTAAAAAAAAGAAAAATTCCAAATCATTGATTCTATTATCAATGAAAATGATTTATCTATGTAGTCGATGAACTTTAAACTTTGTAATATTTTACTTTGAAAAACAAAAAACAAAAAAAACCATTTCCATATTCAAAATGATTTTCAATTTGCTCGGAAAAAAATTGGATCTATTTTCCTATTTCAACCAAAAAAAACGAGACAAAAAAACGAGATAAAAGGATCAAATGAAATTGAATTTTTTTCTTCGCTTTTCATCAAGCAATTATAGATTCGATAAGATTTTTTTATTCCAAACAAGATATTCTCGAAACCAAAAAAAAAATGGAAATATAAAAAAGGATTTAGCATCACTTTGGTTAGTGAGGAAGAGAGTGTATGAAAGAATCCTTCCATTGCAAAATGATAAAACAAAAACAAAAAAATGGAAAACAAAAAACAAAATTCCAACACTTACTTTGAGCGAAAATTGTTGCTGTTGTTTTTGTTGTTGTTCATTATTGTTATGGATCGTATTCCAAGATCCGGAAAAATCATTGGCACGAAAAAATTTTGATCGTAATAATAGCTTTGATGATGATGATGATGATGATAAATGTTTTGTTTCATTATTATTATCATCATTATTATCATTATAATTATTTTGATTATTATTAATTTTATAAATTAATGAAAATATTGTTAACCAAATTAATGATACAATCAATAATAATTTAAAACGATTTAACATTTTCAACATTTTTGAAAAATTGTGAAAGAGTTACAAAAAATTCTGTAAACGAAATTTGATTAATGATAATGATGATTACGGTGATGGCCAAGTTTGTGTTTTGATGATGGCTGATTAGGCTTTCAAAGTTTTTTGATGAAAAAAAAATTTTCTATTTTTTGGTAACGTTAATTTTCTTGATGTTTTTTTGTTTTTGTCTTGATTCAACATGAAGATGATGATGATGAAAATGTTGATCAAAATGATATAATAGTGATGTTGATAATAATGATGGTTGAAATTTGTTTAGCCATCATCATCATCATCATTATCAATTTTCGGTTTATATTCTTTAGGTTGACAAACACGATGAACAGAAATGAATGAATGAATAAGTATTTGGTATTTTGATGTTATGACTTGAAACAATTAATTCATTTTTCTGTAATTTTGTTTGAATTCAACGAAATCTCTCTTTTTTCAGTATGATAATGATTGATTGAAATAATCATTTTTTGTTCAAATTATAATGGATCTTTTTGGTTGAGAGAAACGAAAAAAAGAAAGAAGAAATTGTTATCAATTAGTGTTACTTTGTCAAAGTTTTTTGTTTTTGTTATTTTCACCCAAAAATCATCATTATAATTATCGATAACTCATCACATTGATTTTTGTTTTGTTTTGTTTTTTTCCTAATTGTTATCCAAACAATTTTTACATGTCAAATCTATTTACCTGTATGATGAATATCATTGTAAATAGTGATGAAGTTGTCCTAAATTCTTTCTGACTTACATAAACACATAATCAGTTGATGTTCAATCATTAACTAAACAAAACGAAATGATAACTGTTTTTTTTCATCTACCTAATAACATCATAGTATGTTTGTTTTTAAGTATACGAAAATGTATGAAAATAAAAAGATTTGAAAAATAAAGCATACCATTTTTCATTTGTATGGAGCAAAATGTATTCAATGATGATGATAATGATGATTATGAACCATTTTTTTCTTCAGTATCTTCTAATTTTCAGATCGTTTACAATTTCAACCATGAAAAACAAAAAACATTTTGGGAAAAAATATCCTCGTTTGTTTTGGCTGGATGATTGTAGATGCGTGTATTGCTGTGATACAAACACACCATCAGAAAATTGTAATAATTTTCATTTAGAAAATACAAACAATCAAACAACCCAAAAAAGTACACAATTACCAAATATATTGTTGTTGGCTTCTTTTGCTCTCTTTTTCTTCTTTGCTATCTCACTATGGTGATTATCATTTGATTATCATTGAATGTCTAATTTATCCATTGAATTATATTATAGTTGATGATGATTATGAGTTTTTTTCTTACTTCTTCTTTCAAGGGATTATTATTATTATTATTGTTATTACTTATTGTTTGATTTTCAAAGCGACGAGTAACGTTATTTGTTCTTTATTAAAATAACAAAAAA